CTCTCCAGCCACGCTGTCCCTCCGAGGGACCGTGAGATGCACACACAGACCCTCTCCAGCCATGCTGTCCCTCCAAGGAACTGTGAGACACACACGGACCCTTACAATACCCAAACCAGCGCTTCTCACTTCTCAGGTCAATTACCGGACTGCGCTATGCTGCCTGGAGCCCCAGAGACCAAGGCCTGCGCTTTGATTCCATCCTGATCTGCCCTGCACATGGTACTTCCCAGACTAAAAACCTCAGACATTAGCATGACACATTCATGCGTCATTCTCTAAAGTGGTTCTGACGATCTAGAGACATGTTTTTTATTTAAATAGTTACACATTTATTTTAACATAAAGAAAAAACATGCCCATTATAAACCTCTATCGATGAATAAATATCATCGCATCAACTTAAAAATAAGCTTGCCAAATATTAAAAACACAAAAAACTTGCCCATCCACAAGGACTGAGGTAGCGCCTGAAGCCTTTGCCTCGTCAGCAGCCTTACCTAGCAATCACATATTTAGAAGTTCACAAAACGAGGTGGCTACAGGGCTGCTCTACCTCTCTTTGTGGAGCCCACACCTAGGACGGAGCCACGTCTCCTCAAGGTCTCAAGGTCCCACGGACCGCCCGGTCTCCAGCGCTACTTACCTCTGCCCCAGGGCTGTGGGCTGGGGAGAACAGAACATCTTGTTTCTGAGGTGACTGGCTGGGGCTGGAGACTTGGGGAGGACCTGAAAAGGAGGGACACGGTGTTTATAATAGGAATGAAGTCCCTTCCTCTCCACATATACGAGGAGAAGGGAGCAGCCAGATCCATGGAGGGTCTCACACGACAGCCAGCCCCTTGCTGAGGCCGGAGAGCAGGGACTCAGACAGGCTGAGCACGCACTGTGTTCCAAAAGAAAACAAAGAAATCAAGGGAAGGGACTCAAGGAAGGCGCTGCCCGTCCCCTCCCTGCATGGTCCGTGGTAGCTGGCACTCTGGTCATTATGTGGGGTGGCTGCGAGCTGAGTTTCGAGCTTTGCGATGTCTTTATTCTTCCCATGCTCCCAAACAACCCAAGGAAAGGGGCCACTGGCTGCGGCTGTCTGTAGAGATCTGTGGTCTCAGACAGGCAAGAACCAGAACAGGGACGGCTGGGGCCCCTGGCCGCCCACAGGGCTAGGCACAACAGGCTCTATTCTGAAGGCCTCAAGTGGGGTGACCAGCATGCCCCCGCGGCCTCTGGCATTCTGGGAGTGGTTCCTCCTGCCCCTACCTCTCTCCTCTGGCTTTGGTGTAGCAGGCGGCTTCTCCTCCTCGTTCTCTGACACTCTCAGCTCCAGCTCGGCTTTCACCTTGGCCTGACGCTGTAAGCGGAGTTCGGTTTCGGCGTCGGAAGGGATGTCGTCAGACCAGTGCTGATCTGGGGGAGGTAGGGGAGATACAAACTGTTACACAGTTTGAGCCCTGGCCCTGTTCCTTTTCTGTGTCCTGCTTCCTTAGAGGATTGCTCCAGGGGTGTTCCACTGTGGCACGAGGTCTAAACCAGACGCGGCAGCCCCTGAAAACCCAGCCTCTCACCTGAGACAAATCTGACACAGCAAAGCATCCATCCTGCCTTCTGAGTGTGGGGTTTGTGGAGCCCTGTGGTGCTTTTGCTTTTGGTGTGTGTGTGTGTGTGTGTGTGTGTGTGTGTGTGTGTGTGTGTGTGTCTGCCTGTCCTCACCTGTGTGAAGGCCAGCAGTTGACCCTGGGTGGCTTCCAATGCTCTTCACCTTATCTTTTTGAGACAAGCTGCATTAAACCTGGAGCTTGCCTTTCAGTTTAAGTGGTTGGCCTGTGAGGCCCTGAGGTCGGCCTTCTCTGTCCCCACCCTCCTCCCTGCCGGGGCGTGTGTTTACAATGGTGTTAGGTAGCTGAACCAGGCAGTCCTGTCTGTGCGCCAGGCAGCCATCTCCCCAACCCATTTGTCTACTTGTAAAACACAGTGACCCCGACACCAGAGGCTGCGACAGAAGGCCAACAACAACCACCGAAACCCTTTTGGGGATGCCCGGGGGCTCATTTCCCCTTTTCTTTCTCCAGAGTTGCCCCCCAACCCAGCTGTCCCCCTAAACTTTTGCTGTGAAGTATCTTCTGTGAGTTCCACCCACGCTGGTCCTGTTCCCCATGTGTAACAGGAGGTCACAGGGGTACAGAAGGGAGGCTGGGCCCCATACCATCCAGCTCAGCACCAGTGTCTCCAGGGTCCCCATCCTCTGCAGCCTCCCCTTCCGTCTCGGCGGGCTCAGAGTCCGCGTCCTCTTCTAGGTCATTCTCATCCAGAGGGGCTGGAAAGCAGAGACATTCACGGACAGGAAGAAAAGGGCGGACAGACAAATAACTGTGCAGGGCGCGAGACGGCAGTGATGCACAGGCCACGCGGGGAAGGCCGGCCCCTGGACAGACATGGAGTGTGCTCTGTAAGCAGCGTGGGTACCACGGCCACTTCTCCACTCTAGCAGGGCCAAGTGGAAGCAGAAGGCAGCTGCTGGCCTGGAGGCATCACCTTTTCCTCCAAGGCTGCTGCTACGAGATCCTCAAGTCAGTCATAATCAAGGGATGCTATGGGGCCCCAGGCAGCTTCTACTAGTACTTATGTACCAGGCCCAGTGCCGGCCACTTCATGTGTCATGAGGTAGTGACTCCTCATTTGGGGGCAGCCAGAGGGTCCTCATGGCCACCTCTGAGTGACAAACCTTAGTTCTGAGTGTCAAATGACGCACAGTGGGCTCTGCCCTTCAGTTGCACTGGTACAGGTATAGGTGGATGCTTTTCTTGAGCTAACTTAGAGGAGTTTGCTAAAGCAAGACGGTGGACCTACTACGGGGATATGTAAAGCTCCCTTTCTGGACTCAAGAACGGCTCTGCAGGGCTGCAAAATAAACTAAACTAAGACTCTCCTCCACTTCCTCTACCGAGGCAGACAGCCTCGGAGCCTTACAGCACCTGGCCCTAGCCTGTGCCCGCAGAGGATCTGCAGCCAGCGCAGGGGAGAGCAGGAGGAGGACAGAGGCTCCGCCTGGGGATGCTGTCAGCCTGAGGGCAATGCTTTTGATTGACATGGAGAAAGGCATCAGAGCGCATCTCCATCTTCTCAAAGCTGAGCTGACTGGGGAGAGGTCAGGCCAACCCACCGGCTCTGGCCCAAGTCAGCACGGGCCACTGAGCTCAGGTGATGACAAAACTTGAGAAAGGGGCTCCCTTAGGGGGTGACACTGGGGGACCGTGGGTAAGAAGCGTCACCTTGAGGATTCTGGGAGCGCTGCATTTCCTGACGTAGGAGGAGGCAGTTCTGTAAGTTCTGGTTTAATTCCCTACATTGTACACTTTTTCTGTATACTTTCTTTTAACATGTAATTCATAAGATGACGATAGTTCAAATCTATGAAGAACTTTTTATGTTTGTTTGTTTTGTTTTAAAACAGGGTCTCACTATGTAGTTCTGGCCGGCTTGGAACTTGCTATGTTGACCAGGCTGGCCTTGAACTCAGAGATCTGCCTGCTTCTGCCTCCTGAGTGCTGGGACTAAAGGCGTGCGCCACCGTGCCTAGATGAACTTTTTCAAACTTCAACTGGAGAACTATGGCAAACAAGTCTGGAGAAGGGCGACAGCCTGGGTTTAGGAAGCGGTGGCTGCTGAACAGTTAACCTCACCTCCTGCTCCTTCTGAGACACTAGAGCCATCCAGGAGTGGATGGGCCACCAATGCCAAGGCACGCTCGGACGGTGACACATTTGCTGAGGTAAACACTGGGGAGAAGCGGCTCAAGGATTCCCACAGGTCTAAAACCTTCAAGTGGCCATGCTGCTTTGGGCCACTCTTGAGGATGGTCACCAGAGAATGTGTGAACGTGATTTTGGAGACACAAACACCCACTGAACAACACCCTGGGCCCCACTTTGTACTCGGATGGCGAGTCTGTCACTGCACTCTGCCATGTCGGGGGGGGGGGGGGGGGAGGCCTCTGGAAACCGAATCTGGGCCCATTGCAGAGGGCCTTTGTGTACAACGTGCTTGCTTGAGTGCCTGGCACTGAGGTGGTAACCACATTCTCTCCGGCAAGAAAGCTGGATGCGGCACAAAGGAGACCTGGTTCCCCAGGCTGGCCCAGCCTGCACCCAGCCTGCCCTGGTCCTGGTCTCGTGGTCCTTCCCAGTTTTCCTACTAAGAAACGTCTGCTGTAGAGTCGGAAGGGTGCGGATCCTACACTCCTCGGAATACCTTGAAAGAAATGATGACCACACACAACAAAAGCAATCACTCAGAGGGCTATTGCGCGGCAGTGGCGGCGGCGGCAGCGGCAGCGGATGCGGATGTGTGAGGGGACACAGCTGGAGCGTTGGAACTGGAGGATGGAATTCTGGTTAAGATGGAGCGCTGTGCTGGAAGCGGCCACACGAGTGAGGAGCCACACACTACGGAAGCTGATGCGAGTGGCCATGTATTTCAGCTGCCTGCCAGGACAACCTCTCTGCTCAGTCTCGCCGTTCCTCCTTCCTCTAGCTCAGAGGGTGATAACTCAGGCTTAGCCACGCTGGACTCCGAGTCCTCCTCACCTGTGGACCCTCCCCCCCGCCCCCCACCACATATGTCTACTTTCAGCTGCTTGGGAGGACAATGGGGACAGGTCCACAAGCATCGTCCCTACTGGTCCTAGAAGTGACTGCCAGGATACTGGTTCTCAATTGGGGGGGGGGGAAGGAGGGGTGCTATCTCCTTTTGGGGGGCACCTGGTGTTAGGCAGAGAGTGCTCTTCACTGAGAGCAGAAGACCATGTGATAACCCCGCAGTGGGAAGGGCTGTCCTACCCCAAAAGCCAGGCACCCCTCTCCTCGAGAAACAGGTTTCTAGTGAAATAAAGGACAACTGAGGCCTCTCAGGCCACCTTTGGCCTGCGTACTGAGTGAGACGCTGTAGTTTAGTCTGGGAACCCAGCTCAGGGACCACCTGGCAGTATCTCGCACAGCTCAGCAGTGCCCACAGTCTCTCCTCTTAGGCAACCGTTCCGTGAATTCCCGTTTTGGCTGCTCCTCTGACACACTGGTGGGGTTATCTGATTTCACTCCACCATCTACTGCTACCCAGGCTCGTTTCTACAGGTTTAAAACTTCAGCAGAAAAAGCTTCCTTTCACAAAAAAAAAAAAAAAAAAAAGCCAGTCGGTGACAGCGCACACCTCAATCCCAGCACTTGGGAGGCAGAGGCAGCGGATCTCTGAGTTCGAGGCCAACCTGGTCTTCAGAGGAAGTTCCAGGACAGCCAGAGATACACAGAGAAACCCTGTTTCGAAAAACCAAAAACCAACCAAACAACAACAAAAAAAGTTTCCTTTCACCTTGGCTTTCCTATCTAACTGCTAATGGTAATTTTTAAAAGGCGTGACTCCATCCTGTCTCCACTGTGGGTCTCCAGTCTGCCTGGGGATGGGGGACGCACTTCCGGTCCATGCATACGGGCTGTCTGACTAAGCATGCACGAGCCCCGCCCACTGGCTCTGCCCTCGCATGCACCAGCGACAGGAGCTGAGTCCTAGAGTTAAGATGCCAGCGGAGCTGCCTAGAGAAAGAGGTTACAATGAACGGGGTGGGGGTGTCACATATCACCAGACTACCTCCGGAGACCGTCTCCAGCCAGGCCTGTACTGCTGCACGGCGTACGGAGGGAAGGCCGGTCACTGAATTTAAAACAGATGATAAATACAGAGTTAAATACTGGTAGGTTCTCGGCAGGGAGAGCTGAAGTCGGTCCTAAAACTCAAAACAGAGGATGAGAAACCAAGACATCGTACAGCAGAGGGCCATCCGGAACTGACACAGGGTGTGTATGTGTGTGGTCTGATGGTAGCCCATGTGACGGGTATTTGGGACAAGGAGAGAAGACAGACGGAACTCCAGAGAGGTCAGCTCTGGCTAGGACAGCTGAGTTGTCCTTGTTCCCATCTTGCGGTTCATCTTGATGTCCTAGAGGACTGAAACATCACACGAAGGCCCAAGTGTTCCCATGGACCATAGTGATCTTCTATAGACTCAGAGCCTTACAGGACAGGTGGCCCTGGGTGGCACCACCTGAGCCAGAAATGGTGATGCCACCACCGGTCCCTACGTGGAAGAAAGATGGCCAGAGAGAACGACATCTAGCCACCACGCCTCTAAACGGGTTTTGCTTTCTTTTTATTGCTACTCCCTAGAAGAAGCCAGAGGCTAGACATGGTGGTGCCAGCCGTTCTGGAGGCTGAGGCAGGAGGATCTCGAGTTCAAGGCCAGCCTGGCTAGCTTGGTGAGACTGTCTAAAAAAATAATAAATAAATAAATAAGTAAATAAGTAAATAAATAAGTAAATAAATAAATAAGTAAAGAAAGAAAGAAAGAAAGAAAGAAAGAAAGAAAGAAAGAAAGAAAGAAAGAAAGAAAGAAAGAAAGAAGCAAAGAAACAAAGAAACAAAGAAACAAAGAAACAAAGAAAGAAAGGAAAGGGGTGGGGTCGGCGAGGGCCAGGTACAGCGGTGCACATCTTTAATCCTAGCACTTAGAAGGCAGAAAAGGGTGTGTCTCTGTGAATCTGAGGCCAGCCTGGTCTACACAGCAAATTCCAGGCCAGCCAGGGATACAGAGTAAGAACCTGTTTCAAACAAATAAACAAACAAACAAACAAACAAACAAACCAAACAAGAAAGAAGCCAGAATAAAACATTTTCACCTCAGTGGGAAACACAGACCCCCTTCACCTAGAACTTGGAGTTGAACATGGCACAGAGACCCCAGGGGTCCCCCCATGCACCTCTCTTTACTTTCACTTCTAAATACGCCCCCTTCTCTGGTCCTGCCATGCACTCACGCGACACCCACTCTGCCAACACACTCTGGAGAGGGCTGAGAATGTCCTGCGGAGAAGCACAGGACAGCAAGGTCTAGGGTCTTCTGAGTCAGGCTCACTTTTCTATTTCGCATCAGGAGAGAGGGCCGGCAACCTCATAACTCACGGAGAGCTTTATGTATCTTCGAATGAGAGCCAAGGACAGTGGTCCCCCAGCACTGGGCCTCTGCGGCCGTGGGAGGGTCAGGAATGGGTGCTCTGGATGCACCCCGGACTCTGGGGCTCAAAGCAGTTACCTCTAGAAGTGGAGGACTCAGAGGTTGGGAGCATCCTCTCCTCCGCCTCTCTCTCACGGATGTGTGTCCAGTGCACATCAGCCTGGATCGCCAAGGGATCCGCTGCCGTTATGATCTGCTGCAGCCTGTTGGTCCCGGCTAGGATGCCAGGTCCCCAGGGAGGAGAGGACAGGGAGGACAGAGGGAAAGTGGACAGTGAAGGGAAGGAGGGGATGAGACACCACAGGAAAGGAGAGAAAGAATTACAGTGTTTGCCAGGACCAGTTTGAATCAGAAAGAGGTACACACACACACACACACACACACACACAATACGTTCTATTAATACAGTTTGATTTAGTCATTTTGGGCTTCACATACACTTCTTAGTTCAGTGAGATCCACACACTCCACCTCCAAATGCAGAAGGAATTTTTCCCTTTCATCATGGAATGAATCTTAGGCCCACACTGCCCAGGGTGGAACAGGACAAATGACCCTCAGCTTTAAGACCACCACGGCAGGGGCTCAAGGACTCAGCTGTTAGCTAGCAGAGCGGAGCTCAAGAGCACCCTTCTTGGCCATCACAGGAGGTGAGGATGGTGCCACTCTGCCTGGAGCCAGCCAACTAACCAGGACAGATATGTGCATTGCCGGGACTTTACCCTTTACCCTCTGCGGTAAAGCTGATGCTGGAGAGAAAATGTCCTTTGGCCAGAGACCACATGCGGCATGCTGGCACCGGGGCACGGACCTGGGGCAGGTGGTCAGCATTGGAGGGTGGGGATGGCCGCTAGGAGAGGAAGCAGAGATCTGTCCTTCGAAGTCCTGAACTCCAGCATTCGGGCAGGAGTGAGGCCAATACCCCTGCCCTACTGTGGGGAAGGCCCCACCTGAAGCCCTTCCAAGCCCTCTGGGCATGAGATCAGCACTTACCAGGGCTCCCTCATGTGCTCTCGCTGGCAGAGCCCGGGCAATTCACATGCAGCCCTTACCCGGCAGGACCCCTCATTAGTGCTTGGATCATGCCACACAGTAGGGTTAAGAGAAAGGGACAGCCAGTAACTAAGGAGCACGGGGGTGGGTACTGAGGCAGGGAATCCAAGCTATTCAGGCAGCAAGAGCAGGTGCCACCGATGTGAAGGACGCTGGGGCTTCTGTGAGAAGCCAGCGTCCACCTGGGAGTATATGTTCCCTGTCCCCGACACCCTTAACTGGATACTGTCACTACCAGGACAACTCTAACAAAGGAGTGAGGACGTGACTTGGCACAAGCGGAGTCTCCGATGGGGACAGTCAATTGTACAGTGACGTAGAGTTGGCCCCCAGACTCTTACTGGTCTCCAGAGACTCACAGCCCGTCCCCAAAGACAGTCTGCCCAGACGGTGCTGGCGAGGGCTGCTTCACGGCAAATTCACCGACCGCTTAGGTGTGCCAGGACCAGGGAGGGTGAGACAGAGGAAAAGGCCGGTCCTCTGGTCCTTTCTTTGGCTTCTAAGCAACAGAGGAAAGAGTGGAGCCTTTTCTCTGGGTACAGCCCTGCCTTCGGCCAACACATGCAGCCTTGTGGTGTGTGTGTGTGTGTGTGTGTGTGTGTGTGTGTGTGTGTTGGGGAGGCATCAGCAACATGGAGACCCTGGGGTGAGACTGGAGAGCTGTGGCCGGGCAGCGAGGTTTAACTGGATAAAGGGAACTCAGAGCAAAAGCTGCGGGGACAGAGGTGGGGCCCCATTCCACAGACCCTGTTTCCGGTCCTCTGGGAATCTGATGACTCCTGTGCTATTCTGTGCTCTGTCCGTGGAGGCCGTCGGGGCCAGGTGACCAGCTAGGCATGCCCAAAGCCTTTGAGAGCAGCTTTACGAAAGAGACCTTGCCATGTGGGACCTGCTCTTGGAGGTGCATTTTAGATGGCTGCTTGGGAGCCGGGGTGGAGATGGGCAGGGGCAAAGCGGGTACCTTCACTTGTACCCATTTCTTCTTCTTTTGAGAGATGCTGGAGCCACTGGCCTTGCAGTTGTTCTCTGTCCCAGGGGCAATACTCCCCTTCTACAGCAGGGGGAGCCAGACACCCATGGACAGCACCAAGAATCCCACAGGGGGACAAGAGGAGAAGGGAATGGAGGGAGGAAAGAGAACAGAGAGCAGAGTTATCCCAGCTGCACGCAAGAGTGTTCTGCCACTGTCCACACAGGCATCCAGGTGTGCTGCCCCAAAGAGGCAAGGCAGGCTGGGGACAAAGGAACACCCAGGGCTTGGCTGAATGAACTGTGAACTTCCCAGCCCGGGAAGTCAAGTTTTCACGAAGGGAAGGAGCGCCAACTCTCCCAGAGTTGTGCTGGGACTAAAAGCTGCTAAGTATTCATCATCACCACGTAGAGATAATGGCATCTCAAATGATTCGAACAGAGTACCCTTCCCTGTGGGAGCCGTGAAGGGGATGGGACTCACTCTGATGAGCGTGAGCACACAGAAACTCGCCAGCATGGCGAGGCAGACATGACGGAACAGAAAAACCATGCTCTGGCTAGTCCAGTCGCTTTCCAGCACATTCCTTCTTCATGTCTCATGAAACTGAGTGCATCTGCCTAGAACCCACGTTGGCCTTCAGAGGAGTCAGTGCAGGAGGATGAGAGATGATGCTCTCTAGGGAAGATGCCTAAACATTACCAAGTGTCCCACTGAGCCCGAGAACACCGGGACGGTCCTGGGCAGCGAGCACACAGAATCCAAGGACAGGCAGAGCTGACTGGGAGGCAATGTTGAAAACCGAGAGCTAATTCTCTGTGTCCACGCCGTCAGGAATTTAACCCCTCTCTCCGACGCAGGGCCGGAAGAACAAGTGCTTGTCCCTCCCTTTGGCCCTGGGTCCCCGGGGAAGTGAGCAGGGCTCTCCTTGGGGAGTCAGATCTCCACAGTCCTGGCTCCTCCTCCACAGTCCTGGCTCCTTCCTTACCCTTACACGGGCCCTCTGCAGCCAGGGAAAGAGGGACGCTCTCTACCCAGCCAAGTTCCTTCTGTCTCTAGGCCACAGCCAGATAGGAGGTGGAAGAGAAAAATCTCGAGCTCAATGCAAGAGGAGTTTTAGAAGCAACTGGAATGGCTGGAAACTCAAAAACTGAACACTTTCTTCAGGCCCCGATGGTTACTGACTGTGACTGGAGCCAGTCTAGTGTGCACCTAAGATCACAGCGGCCTGCTCTCCAGCACCACAGGTGGCGTCTCAAAGGAGCTAACTTGGTCTTATAAAGTTCTCTGCATGAAACTGAAGGGGATAAAAGACATGAAAGATAAAATGAAAAACAGAAGCCACCTAATTTGGACACAGTCCTCAGATGAGCCCTGTCTCCCACTCCCAGTTAAAAATATGAATGTATACAGGGGACATTTTTCTCAGTCTGCCAGACACTGCATCCTACCTAAGGTCTGGAAGAAGTGAGGGCCAGAAAACCTCAGGTCCTGAGGGTAGCATCCAGACTCTAATGTCCACGGTACCTCTTACACTCACACCAGAAACACAGCCAAGGGGATAGGAGGGGGATGAGGTCAGGACTAGAGACGCTTCTGACCTTCACTGGACTCCTCCTCTTCCTCTTCGTCATATTCTTCCTCCTCCTCTTCCTCTTCATATTCCTCTTCTTCCTCCTCTTCCTCAGGCTCGAAGTTCTTGGAGGCCTCTAGCTCCTCTTCACTTCTTCCCTTCAGAAGGGCATGAATCCTTACTGCCTCCTTCCAGGGAACCCCGCCCAGATCAGAGGTGGGGAGCTGATCGTCCTCATCCTCCTCCTCTTCCTCCTCCATCTCCGACTCGGAACTGCTGAGGAGAAGTAACCACAGAGCCTGAGTGAAGGGATGGCAGCATGTGGAGAGGAGGGTTCAAAGCCGCTGTCACAAGCAGCAGTTCCCAATAAAGCAAGGAAGAGGAAGTGGGCCAGGCTGGTACCCTTCTCCAGCCAGGGAAGAAACAGGAAGGACCGCACTAATGGAGCAGGATGACAGACCCACCCAAGGAGCAACCTGGCTCGTGGGGCACTGTGGCTACTCATGGCACACCAAAATCGGTGTCTGTAAAGACAAAATTCGCTCCCCAGAGCCCCTTTGTACGCGGGAACCCAAGCCACACTGGAACGCAGGCAATGGTGGTCACTTCCAGAGCTCTGTCCGATGGGGGGGTCTAGGGTGACAGCTGGTCACACTCGTTCTGAATATAGGGGCCGGCCACACTAGGAAAAAAGCCAAAAGACTTTTTTTTTCCCCCAGGGGAAAGGGGGATTTTAGGTTGACCTGAAGACTAGATCGACCCCATGGACTATCAAAAATTACTATGTACATAATGGAGTCCCAATAAAAACTCCAAAGTCCCAGGTCTGAGTGAATGGGACATCACAGGTAGAAACAGGACAGGAATGCTGTCCCTGCTCCACAGGGGCAGGACAACAGCAGCTCCGACTCTGAGAGCTTCCTGGACTCTCCGTGAGGAAGTCTTTCCCCACACTGTGAACAGGCCCTGGCCACGAACATGACAGCTTCCAGAAAGTTCTGAGTCCCTCTCAAGCAGCTGAGCGAGCCTCCTGGTGCTTGTGAGGAGAACGCACCCCCTCTTGTCTGCTGGCTGACGTCTCTCCTGCAGGCTGCGTACACCCCCTCCCCTCTGCCTCTGTTCCACCTAGCTGGTCATTAACGACCCTTCCTCCCACTGAAACAGACCTGGCCACGAGCACAACAGCTTCTAGAAAGTTCTGAGTCCTTCTCAAGTGGCTGAGCTTCATGGAGCTGTGGTCCCCAGCAGGGAGGCCACGTGATGCCTGCCTAACAGGCAAATGTCACTATTCTTACACTGTTTATTCACTTCCACAATCACTCACCCATTCATTCATGAATTCTTTTTTTTTTTCCCCCTTGAGACGGGTCCCATTATATAGTCCGGGCTGACCTGAATTCTCAGTCCTCTTGAGTGATGGGGTTATAGGTGTGTACGGCCATGTATCACTTAAAGAACATTCTGAGACCTGCCAGAGCTCAGCCAATGGACACACTCACTCAGCTGAAGTAGACTGAGTCTTCGTGCACCGTACTTATTCACTGACTACTGGAAATGGCAAAGGTGACCCAGGAAAGCCCACACATACCATAAGGTGTGTGTTGGGGGGTGGTGTGGAAGAGATCCAGGAGGAGGTGGCTTAAAGTGTAAACATCTGGCCAGGTGTGGTGGTGCATGCCTGTAATGCTGGAACTTGGGAAGCAGAGGTGAGGGTCAGTGCATGCTGGAGGCTAGCCTGGTTTACACAAGTTCCAGGCCAGCCAGGGCTACAGAGCGAGACCATGACTGAAAAAACAAACAAACACCAACCACAAGGAAAGAGGGGAAATAAAAGGGCAGGGTGGAAAGTGTGGCACCTGACTTCTGAACATTTCCCACCGTTATTTCTACTGCTCATGTTTCTCCGCTGACATGTTTTCACTAGCTCACTTTCTCGTGAATGACGTGGGCTGTGAGTGCCACTCACCGCGGCTCACATCTGGAGTAAGGACATGGAGACGTCTGCACTCATCCTCGATTTCCTGTCCCTCCACCAGGGCTCAGTGTGCCTTGTCTAGACAGGCTGGGAGGGGCGGGGCCGAGTGCGGCCTGACCTCACTCGTGTCCTGTTATTCCTGTTATTAGGATGGCCGCACCGGGCGTAATTCGGGTGATGAGTACATCTCGCTGTGATGATGACTACGAAGCCCGTGATGGCTATTAGTGCCACTCCAGATAGTTTTACGACAGCGCCGGGGTTGTGAGAGCATGACAGCATGGGTGGAAAGGTCAGGCCTCACTTTCCTCTGCCAGCTGTGAGCATATTGCTCCTGCAAAGCAGCCTCCCTGACTGCAGAGAGGACAGAGAGAAACCCGCTGGAGCCAGTAGAAACATCTTTCCAGCTACCTCTATCAGAGGACCTCAGGGCCCCTTTGAGGGCTGCACAGCTCTTACATCACACAAGACTCAGGGTGTCAACCCAAACCCAGGGCCTCGTGCACACTGAGCCACACCCTCAGCCTCAAGGCTCGCTTTAGATCCCCCTGTTGACCCAGTCATCTGAACCCCAGGTCTTAGCCTGCTGAAGCTGGAGTACCCACAGCTGAACATGCCTGACGAAGACAGAGGGGAGTCAGGACTTCAGCAGTGTGCCCAGGCTCTTCAGTCCTTCCCCCCGAACCCAACAGTGGGATTCAGTGCCAGCAGCTGTCCGGGTGCTGTCCCCCACGAATCTGGTCCAGTCACATGGCTCTGAGATGGATCTTATGATTCTAGGTCAAGCTCCCTAGGGTCCCCTCCTCTCTTCCTCCTTCTCTTTCCTTCTTCTGGACCTCATGTGGTGCACAGGCTGACCTCAAATTGCTACGTAGCAAGGATGACCTCGACCTTCCCATCCTTCTGCCTCCACCTCCCAAGTACCAGGGTACAGGAGCACAAAACCACATGCTCCTGTGCTGGGGATTCAATCCAGGGCTCCCTGTATGTTAGGCGAGCACTCCACGGACTGAACTACATCCTCAGCTCCTTCCCATTGTGACTGGAGGGAAACAGGAAACAAATGGCTTTGACTCAGGGTAAGCTGCTAGTCAGCGATTCCAGTCTGCTCCGCCGCACCCCTGGGTCTCAGTGACCCTGACAACACTCTGCTGCCAGGCAGGGGGCTAGAGAAGGCGCACATTGTTCTCTACATTCACCCCCTGGAAATCGCGCATGCGTATCAGCCAGGGCTGGCATTCCTTACTGCCTCTGCTGGAAAAGGGGCTGAAGCCGGAAGAAAGGGGCAGACAGGGA